GAAACATGGATGACCTATAGATAATTTATGGATTGCCTGGCATTAGCATTGTGCATCCAACAGTTGATTGTTTTTTAGAAGCGTGCACTTGAAGATTTTTTCTGTAGTGTGAGAACAAAAGGAAAGAAAGTCCTAGTTAAACATTTATCAAGTTTGGTACCAGTGTCATTTTGGTCCTAAAGTTGCATTTATTTTACTTAGCTGTTTTGTTTATTGGATCTTGCCAATTTAATATGGATCGATTACCACACATGAAAATAGAAAGAATTTCTACTCATAATTTTGCTTTAAATTTACAGACTTATGTGCTCTATAATTCAAGCAATGTTATTGTTAATATTTTCTTACAAAAAAAAAAAAAGAAGCAAGTCCTAGCCAAGTGCCTTATTTTTGGCTGGGCTTTACTCTTTGTATATTGATTATGCTATATGCCTAGTGGCTCTTGTAGATTGGTTATTGGAGCATTTTTATTGCCTTGTTGCTTCTGGTCGCTATTTTTTTCTTCATGTTACTTGTAAGACCCACCTATTTTTCTTTGAGGCTCACCAAGGTTTTGGGTTATCCAATATGTCCCGAGTTGGGAACATGCTTTAAAGACTAAGTTATTCTTCTCTGGCAATCGAGTCTTCTCCACCTTACACCTCAAGATTTTTGGGTGCACTGCTTTTGTTCGGAACACTGCTCTCAAACGGAGTAAATTTAATCCCAGATCCATAAAATGTATCTTCTTTGGATACTCTACCACTCAAAAGGGGACCAATGCCTTGATCCTACCTCTAACAAAATTTATGTGAGTGTTGATGTCTCTTTCTTTGAATGTATTCCCTATTTTCCTTGCTCCGCCCTAAGTGAGGGTGGCTTGGGTTCTTAGAAACTTTCCCTTATCCTACTCCTATGGATTTTCCTCCCATTTTTCCTGCCACTGAGGATTCCCCTGTTCTAGTGAGTGCACCATTCGACGAGTCCTGGTTACATGAGTGCACCATCTCCTCCTCGCATTATCCGTGTTTACACTCGGCACACTCATTCCAATTGTCCTACTCTGGAACCTGCTACCTTCTTACTAGACCCTGACTCCATTCCGGGCGACATTCTTAGCACGAACTCCTCCGAATGAGGAGGTGAGTTCTCTAAGTAAGGGATGCAATCAAACATGCTCTCTATGATAAAATGTCTTTTTTCGCAGTTTAGCGTTGACATACAGAGCATTTGCTACTGTCCTAACGGACCATCAGATCCCGGTTACTATTAAGGTTGCTCTTGTTGATCTAACCTAGAAAACACCAGTAATGGAGGAGAGGAATGCCCTTAAGCGAAATCATACATGTCTCTTTCTGCAGTTTATGTCGACCATTAGAGCATTGCTACTGTCCTGATGGACCATCAGATCTCAGCTACTATTGAAGTTGCTCTTGCTGATCCAACCTGAAAAACGACAGTAATGGAGGAGATGAATGCCCTTAAGCGAAACCATACATGGGACGTTGTTGATCTTCATCAGGGTTAGAAAGCTGTGGGGTGCCGATGAATTTTCAACACCAAGTTCAACTCTGATGGTTCCTCTGAATGCAACCAGGCATGATTGGTCGGCAAATGATAATCACAGATTTACGGAGTTGACTATAAGGAGACATTTGCTCCAGTGGCTAATTTAAATGCTATTTGGGTTCTGTTGTCCATTGCGGTGAATTTGGATTGATCTTTATTCCGACTAGTTGTTAAGAATGCGTTCTTGAATGAAGAGCTTACAAAAGAGGTATACATATCTCTTCTTTCTGGATTTGACTTTACTGCCTCCAAAGGGCAAGTGCGTAGGCTGCGAAAGTTTCTCTATGGGCTAAAGCAATCTCCAAGGGTCTGGTTCAATAAGTTCACAAAGGTGGTTGTGGGCCATGATTTTACTCGGGCTCAATCAGATTACACTTTCTTCTTCCGACATTCCTCCAATGACTAGGTAACTATCTTTATTGCTATATTGACGATATTGTCCTTACAAGTAACGATCTTCCAACATTGGAGTCCTTGAAAGATAATCTTGCTAAGTCCTTTCAAATGAAAGACTTGAGATCTCTTCGGTACATGAGTGCATCATCTCCGGACATTTGTCTATCTCAGTGCAAATATGTGGTTAATCTCTTGACAAAGAATAATTTTCTTCTATAAAAACCCGTGGCTGTCCTATGGATCCCAATGAAAAATTATCTAGCATTTCCAATATTGTGTCTGTCAACAAGCTTCACTACCAGCGAGTTTTGGGGAAACTCATATACCTCAACCATACTCGCCCCGACATATGCCACGCAGTTGGTATAGTGAGTTAATTCATGCATGAACCTTATAAGCACCATCTCCAAGCTGTCCGCCGAATTCTCCACTATTTAAAAGATACACCGGGCTTAATTTTATTTTTCTCTCATCACATCTCTCGGTCTATTGTTGTTTATATAAATGCTGAATGGGTCGGGTCAGTTCTTGATCGGTGTTTTACGTCGGGGTATTGCTCATTTGTATTTGTATGGATAAATCTTATCATGTGGAAAAACAAAAAATAATCTGTGGTTGCCCGGAACAGTGCTGAAGTTGAATTCGAGTTCAAGTTCTTGAGGATCTATGAAACCCTCTGGTTACGCATCATGCTCCGTGAACTTCGTATGCTAACCTCTGTCCCGCTGTAGCTATTTTGTGTTAGTAAGACCGCCATCAGCATTGCTCACAATCCAGTCCAACATGATTGTACCAAACATGTGGAGATTGACAGATACTTCATTAAGGAAATTATTGAGTCCGAGAAAATTTATGTTCCTTTTGTGCCTTCTAGTGGTTAACTAAGATATATCTTCAACAAGAATCTTCCTCGTCCTTTTTCGATGACTTCAAATCTAAGTTGAAGATGATTGACATCTATGCTTAAACTTGAGGTGGAGTATTAGATTTATAGCGGCAATCCCTAGCCATTATTACTTATTATTAGCTTTTATTCCCTCATTATATATTTTCTATTTATTTTATTCTTTTTTATTTCTTTCCTTGTGTTATGTCTATTGTAATTAGCTTTAAATACCCCTTCTTCTATCAATAAAATTATCCCGATCTATTCCCAATTGATGCCAACACAATGAGCAGCCTCTGAATCATTTTCCCCATTTCTCTTTTTTTTTTTACATCTTTGCTTTAAAATTAGAGGTTCTGTGTAAGCTTTGTAACTTTTTTGTTTCTAAACGGTAACCCTCCCTTAGCTCTTATTATGAATGTAGGTCTTTGGACCAAATCACCCGAACGAATGCCCTTTGTGTTGTTGTATGCTTTAAGAGGCATCGGTTCTCTTTCTAATTAGAAGTGGTTTAGTTTAACCAGCTTTGTATTTGAAATCCGGACACTTACTGATCTACATATCCTACTCTTGACATGCTGATCCAAATGACACGATTTCATTAACAATTTTTTTTTTTAAATCGATTGCTCAGATTTACGGTAGCATATTGCGACTATTTGAAATTTATTTTGACTTTTCATAATGGTCTCATGATGCAATTTACTATCATTGCACTTTATCCCCAGATATTATATCACCATCTATATTTCTATATATAAAAGATACTTGGTATCATTTAATATTTTTGCACTATTGACTAAAATTAAGTATCCACTAAATTCTTATATGATATCTTCAATGGCTCAATCGATTAATTCTCTTTTCATTCAAAAAATGTTTGACATATTATTTATCTATATAGTATATGCCAAGAAATCTCATGTCGAATGCATATCCATCACCATTAAAAAAATATAGATTTAATGCTAATCTTTAACATAATTCAAATGAGATCAGAATATTTTTTATTAAACCACGCCTGCTTTCTGAGGATGGCCACAACTCCTTCCCATATATCTAAATTCAATGCGCCTTGTCATTTTTTTTTCAAATATATAGTCTATCACTTGTTAATTTGAATATTTAGAGAGTGTTTTTTTTTTTTGCCACAGTTCCTGGTTTTTATTATTGGTAGGGCTCATTGATTTTTTCTGTAGTGTGAATGATGTGGAATTGTCCTTTCGAAGCATGTTAGAGGTTCAACAAACATGCTATAAACATCAAGGTTGCTTTGTTAGTATATAAAATTTTTCATCTTTTATTGCTTTATGTCATTATTCTATCTTCTAATGCCTTTTCATAGGTCCGTGCTCTTATTGTGTTATAATACCTGTATAATTCTGACTGATATTTCTGTAGGTCAGGCGAATGACAACATCGCCACATAGAGCAGAAATATTGTCTTCATCTCTGGAGGCTTTCAGGAAAATTCAATCTGAAAGAGCTAGCAAACATATAGCTCATGATGGAAAGGACCCGATCTTCCCTCCTTCAACCATCCATACTGGTTCCGAAAATTCACCTGGAGCATATGATAAGCATTTGGATGACGGAAGACAAACCACAGGTTCAGAAGGTCGCAGAAGGGTGGATGCCATTCATGGAAGTTCCATCATAGATAAGACACATTTAGTGGTAGCCTTTCATAGCAGATCATGTTCAGCACGAGCTAGTCTTTTAACCTCAGAAAAACTGTTAGTTTCTTCTTCTGGGAAGGGCAAGAAAGAACCCCTAGAGCCAATTTCAGAATTTGAAAAACTGGCCTCTAGGAAGGACAGATTACTGGCTGATAATGGGATAGAAAAACAATCAAATGTCTCTGATATGATAAAAAGGAATAACTCTCAATGTATCAAAGAAAAAGAGAAGGATAAGAGAAATACAGCTCCATGGAAAACTATGGATGCCTGGAAGGAAAAAAGGAACTGGGAGGACATTCTAAAATCTCCATTGCGGAGTTCCTCCCGAGTGTCATGCTCACCTGGTTTGGGGAGAAAAAATGTAGAGCGAGCAAGAGTGTTGCATGATAAGTTAATGTCCCCTGAGAAAAAGAAAAAAAGTGCTTTGGATACAAGGAGAGAAGCAGAAGAAAGGCATGCAAGGGCCATGAGAATTAGAGGCCAACTGGAAAATGAGAGATTGCAAAGACTACAGCGCGCATCAGAGAAATTAAATCGTGTCAATGAATGGCAGGCTGTTCGTAGCTTAAAGCTACGAGAGGGACTGAATGCCCGCCAGCAACGTGGCGAAACTCGTCATGAAGCATATCTAGCTCAAGTAGTAAGGAGAGCTGGTGATGAGAGCAGTAAAGTTAATGAGGTTCGTTTCATTACTTCATTAAATGAAGAGAATAAAAAGCTGATATTGCGTCAGAAACTTCACAATTCAGAATTAAGAAGAGCTGAAAAAATGCAGACAATCAGAGTAAAACAAAAGGAGGACATGGCAAGAGAGGAGGCTGCCATGGAACGAAGGAAGCTCCTTGAAGCTGAAAAAATGCAACGTCTTGCTGAGACACAGAGGAAGAAGGAAGAGGCTCAGCTAAGAAGGGAAGAAGAAAGAAAAGCTTCTAGTGCTGCACGGGAAGCAAAGGCTGTAGAACAGCTTCGTAGAAAGGAAATACGAGCCAAAGCTCGGCAGGAGGAAGCAGAGCTTTTAGCCCAGAAATTAGCTGAAAGGCTGAGTGAAAGTGAACTGCGTCGTAAGTTTTATTTGGAGCAAATACGTGAAAAAGCATCTACAGATTTTAGAGATCAGTCATCTCCTTTGGTGCGTCGTTCTTTAAACAGAGAGGGCCCGAGTCGGCACTTACCAACTAATGGTGAAGATAACCAGACATCATGTGTTCCTGTTATTGGAAATTCAGAACCAGGAGTGCCATATCCAACACAGCAGCAATCATTGAAGCGAAGGATAAAAAGAATCCGTCAAAGGCTAATGGCTCTCAAACATGAATTTATTGAACCTCTATTTGTTGCTGAAAATTTAGGGCTCGGATGCAGAACACTACTAGGAACTGCCAGGGTGAAAATTGGGAGATGGCTTAAGGAGCTTCAGAGGCTTTGTCAGGCTAGAAAGGAAGGAGCAGCAAGCATTGGATTGATTGTTTGTGATATGCTAAAAGTATGCTTCTTTTTGCTTGCAGTTATATTTTATTTTCCTATTTTTAATAGTATTATCTATATTGATTAAGGCGGACATTTTATGCACCAATTTCCCATCATATATACTAATCCGAAGAGGAGTTTTGTTGGCTTTATTTTAATTTTTTTTAAAATTTCTATCAAATTAGTTGAGATTAATATTAGGCTGGTGCTGATTTTAGAATTTGCTTATGTAGAAATGGTTCAGGACCTTAATAATTGAATTGCATGATCCATCCATGCTGATAGGGGAAGGCTTGATTGTAAATTAATATTTGTCATAATTTTGCAATTATTTTGCAGCTGTTTTTTGAGCCAATACTTGTTTGTTCTGATTTCTTTCCCAAACAGTTTCTGGAGGGCAAGGACATTGAGCTTCACGCATCTCGCCAAGCAGGTTTACTTGATTTCATATCTTCTGCCCTGCCTGCCTCTCATACATCAAAACCTGAGTCTTGCCAGGTTACAGTCTATTTTCTTAGACTCCTTAGAGTCTTACTGTCCGTTCCGGCCAACAGGGCTTATTTTCTCGCACTAAATCTTTTGCCTCCAATTATTCCCATGTTGTCCGCATCTCTGGATAATTACATAAAGGTTGCTGCATCTTCAAACCATGGAACTAACAACTCAGCGAATAAAATGCCAACTGATAACATGGATACAGTTACTGAAGTTCTAGACTCTTTCTTGTTTACTGTCACTACAATTATGGGTTACACAACGAATGATGAAAGAGAACTTCAAATGCAGGTTGATTTATTGGAGTTGATTGTTTCGTATCAAGCTATTCATCGCCTACGTGATCTTTTCGCGCTTTATGATAGGCCCCAGGTGGAGGGATCTCCTTTTCCTTCATCTATTATTCTAAGTCTGAATCTCTTATCAGTACTAACTTCTAGACCAGGTTCTATCTCATCAATCAATTGGGACGCTGGTATATCTAAATCAGCAATAGAAAAAGAAAATGAGTTTTCAGAAATTGTAGATTATAATGATGTTGTAGATAAATTTGTGATGAGTGATGCTTCTGGAGATGGCAAGTCTTCTCAATTGGCCACTCTTCCACAACCAAGTGAAACTATCCCAGCAACTGAGTCTACTCAAATGGTTATGAAGAGGGTTCTTTCAGATATACCAGAGACTCAATCCAGAAAAGAAACGTCTGATTTTTCTCTTGAATCAAACAGAGAAGAAGTCACTTCAGTGGCAGATGAACTTTATATTGGATCTCAGAAGTGCAACTCAGAAGAAATAGCAAAGTCACCGTTGGATCAAGAAGATCAAAAGATCACTAAGGATAGTCAAGCGTGTAGAAAGAGGAATGATGAAGTACCGTGTAATTATGAAAGAAATAAAGAAGCTACCTCTAAGCAACCTTTAGCTTTTTTTCTATCCGCCATGGCTGAGACTGGTCTTGTTAGTCTTACATCATTGCTGACCGCCGTACTACTACATGCAAATAGTAGACTATCATCTGATATGGTATGTTCCTTCTGAAATAGAAAAAAATCTCTTTTTACACTGTATAATTCATGCTCTGATATTTTTTTAAATTTTATTTATTTATTTATTTATTTTTTTTGCATTTGGAAGTAGCCAATAATCCCAGTTCCCTTCAGTCAAGAAAACTTTGTATGGTATGTTGATACCCTAGGAATGTTAAAGAAAGATTGGTCACAGACTAGTAGATTATTGATTCATATTTTATGTTTAACGTTTGGATGTAATAACCAATAATCCCAATACCCATCCATCAGTCAAGAAAAGTTTTGTGGTACATCGATGGCCTTGAAATGTTTAACATCTTTCTTCGACTTATATCTATTAATTCTCCATCTTTGCCCACAATAATATCATTTCTGTACTCCCATCAGCTTTCACTACCTATATTTTCTTTCCAATGGTTTTTTGCATTTCTATTTGCTACAAACTTTAGGCAATGTGTTTTGCTTTTGTTTATTTTATATAATTAAGGTTGGATAGTTAAAATGGAAAAGTGTGTAGGGAGTAGTAGCACGTGATAAGAGAATATTAGGAATTAAGGGAATAAATATGGGATTAGGCTTTACTATACTGTGATTGCATCATGAGTTTAAGTAGTATAGCTGGTTCTACTGCAAGGGATTAGGGCTTTGTAATGGAAGGTCTTTATTGGTGCCCATATTAGGCGATAGAGTGAACCTTACCTGATACTTATTTTATGACGTTTCTGATTCCTATTCCACACAGACGAGCAATGTCATATATACATAAATATCACAAAGAATGCAACTACATAAAATGCTGTAGGTTTTCTATTGGAGGGATAGAAGTTAAGAAATGCATATACTAACATTTTCTTATTATTGAAAAGTTTGCCCAATAAAATTTGTTGAAAGATTTTTTACAATCATTAATGATTCACTATTGATAGAATTCTATCTTGATTTGGGTCACCATTGGACTATGGGTGGTGAAGAGGAGTCAATGAAGAATCAAGAGTTGGGAAGAGGAATCAATGGAGAATTTAAGAAAAAAGTTTGCAAAAGAAAAGAATGACTGCAAAAGGAAAAATTTGCATGGGCAAAAACCCATTCTCTTAGTGTATAATCTTTTTATGTGGGAGCCTTATAAGTTTATAATGCGGGTTTGTTATAAAGTGGGACTCAGTTTTACAATATGAAATTTTATTCTCAGGGCTCCTCAAAGCATCATTGTTTTTAAATTTCTTCAAGTGGATTTTATGATATTTGACTATTTGTGAGCCCAAGACTTAAAATTAATAATGCGAGAATGGATGGTCAGATAATGATATTCAAAATTGTTCTAATTTCTATTTTCATTCTCTATAATTAACATTTAATCATTTCAAAAGAAATGAAGGAGCTAATGCTGATTTAAAAACTTAATTAAACAAATGATAAATTTAATTCAACTCAGGTTGTCCATGTTTCATGTAGATATTCACTTCTTTATTAATCATTTTCTAATCAAATGATTAAATCTAAAAGGTTAATTTACAATAAAATAAGCTATAACCAATGAATTCTCCTACTTCTAAACTATAGTAATACAATGAAAAGATATAATATACATGTTAGTTAAACTTTTTAATAAGTTAAAATATGAATATTTGATAATTTATATTTATGAATATGATCTATTAAAATATTTTAAAATTTTTATTATGTCATAATATATCACTTTTATATTTATATCATTTTATATACACTCATCGCAGGAGTACTGACTAAAATTATTACTTTAAGGTATTTCAATATCAATTTTTTTTTCATTTACATGCACGAGTACCTTAGTATTTTTTTGTTAGTACCATAAATGGGTGAACTCCATTATAGTCAAACATGCTCATATAATCAGTCTATCATGTTCATATCATTTATATATTTTTTTGTTCAATTCTACTTTTCAAGAATAACATTAGTATTTCTAAAATATATATTTATCACATTATTTGATCTAAAAGTGTGTATAAATCATTGTAAAAGAGTACTATCATGTCTCAGTAATAATTTAATGAATTCGAGGTGAATATTCTTACTTCTAAGTTATAATGCAAAATTGAAAGTTTAAGTTAACTCTAATTAACTAATTTTTTTTAATTTAGAAAAATGGATGCACCAGAGATTATGAAAGAGGGTAATGTGATTAGAATGAGGAAGTACCATCCTGCAATAGTTGTGAACAAGAATATCCTAACCCAGTTGATGACAACGATGACGCAACTTATTTGAGAGCTCAGATTGTTGCATAATGGAAGTGATGCAATTGTTGTGGATAAATATTTGAAAATATTTCAAGATTTGTGTCAACCTTTATTCAAGAGATTGAAGCAGAGAAATGACTAATTTGAATAGAGAAGATATTAGATAGCATTGCATGTCCAGATAAAATTTTATAAGGAGAGGAGATTGTAATAACTGAAGATAAAATATAATAAAATGTAATTGGCAAGTCTATTCAAATGAAGTGTTTCGATGGTTTTGTAAGAGGGATAATACTAATTTCTTCTCACTTGAATCAGAGAAGGGACGAAACTGACATAGAGAGAGAGAGAGGGAGAAAAATCGAGTGGTTCAAATTTCTGAAAGAGAAATTGAAGAACGAAAGGCAGAGTAGAGAGAGAAGTTGACCATGTATAGGAAGCACACAATGGGGCAACTCACATGCGTTAAGGGCGAGATGACTTTGCCATTTGTAGTGGGTTCACCTGGGGGTGTTGAAGTTGAAGTTTGGGAGAGGAGCACGAGGATTGTTGCATTTTGTCACCTGCAGGAAGAAGACAACACACTCCCTAGGGTTCACTAAGTACATCCTGTGCAAACGAAGGAAGAGGAAGGTTCGTGCGAGTCGTGCCCTAGCCAAATGAAGAAAGGAAAAGGAAGTTTGTGCATGCGGGATCGAAGATCGATCCGTGAGCTGACTTTATAGCTTTAATTATATAAATAATTTTATCAATATAATTAAATGTTATTAAGTTAAATTTAATTCTATGAATTAATTTTTGTGATTATGAATTGTCAAATAGTTGAATTAAAGAATAAGGGAGATTGAGATCAATCTTTATGTAAAAGATGAGGAGGTAAAGCTCGAGTTTATTTTTATTAACTTTATTAAAGAAAAATTTTATTTATAAAATTTGATTATGTTGAAAATGTAAAATATGATTTATAGGCAAAACAACAAGTTAAAGAATTTGGAAGGGATCATCTCATAAGGTAAAATCAAGGTGAGTACTTTTACTTCTAAATAATAATAATAATACCGTCTTTCATCTAAATCACTCGCACTAGAATGATATTACTTAAGATATTTTGGTAGTACAAGTAGAGTATGATTAGTTCTGTTTCATTATTCAAAGTGATCACCTAGAAATGACTGTTAAAGATTTGCATAGTTATATTTATTTATTACATATGCATATTAGAGAAGAAAGATATATAATGATAAGTAGAGTGCAAATGAAATGATAGATAATATGCCTGCATGTGCATGCTTAACTATGATGAAGTTAACCTCTTTATTGTACTATAGGAAGAACACTAAGAAACTTATGATATTGATGTGTTTTAATTGATACAATTTTAGATGGTTCTATTGTAATGGTTGTACGTAAAATTATATATATATATATATATTTGTGTTCGCATCTTGTATGGCGGCAGTGCTACGGTTGTCTTCGTGCCTGCGTCTCGTCTGCGACAGAGCTGCTCGACAACTTCTACTTGCGTCTCGTCTGCGACAGAGCCGCTCGACACTTTCCTGCTTCTGCTGCGTCTCGTCTGCTACAGAGCCGCTCGACCGCTCGACAACTTCCTGCTGCTGCGTCTCCTCTGCGACAGAGCCGCCCGTTCTGCTCGGCTCTGCCTCTGCCATCTGCGACAGAGCCTATCTACACTCGTCCAGCCTCACACACTGTGTTGCAGGTTGGCACTGGCTGCGAGAATGACCTTAGGGCTTTCCTACGCCGCCGCCCTCGTCGGTGATAACCCCGCTTAACTCTCCTATGCTACAGTGGTTCACAAGCGTAGCTTCTCTTTTCAGCTCGCAGATAGTGCGGTATTCCCACAAATTTACCATGATTATGTTGCAGGAAATAACGATTGCAATCTCATAAAAAAAGTAGAGAAAATGGCGGGCAAACCAACAATTTTTTTTTCTGACACTGAAATTTCAACTCGTGCAAGAAAATACAAATTTACAATAGTTGGAAAGTTTCAATTAGGTTGCCCTAAGATGGAGATTATCAGGAAGGTTTTTGAAGATTTCAAATTGATTGGGAATTGACAGGTGGGTCATTTCGACGGAAGTCATGTTATGATACGGCTGAGCACAGAAGATGATTACACGGAGATTTTCTCAAAGAAATTCATCACAATTGAGGAAAAACATATGCAATTGCTCAAATGGACCCCAATTTTGATCCCAGTCAAGAACCCTTAATTGCACTTATCTGGTTCTCATTACTTGAACTCAAACTTCATTTCTTTGACCTACCTATATTATATGCAATTGAGACTATCCTTGGAAAACCTTTGCAGGTAGACTTACCTACATTTCATTTCTCAAGGCCCTATATTGTAAGAATTTTGACTGAACGAAATATTACACTACCAGATTTAGAAGTCTGACTTGGATCTGCTCACAATGATTATTGACAAAAAATCATTATGGAACAAAAACCATACTATTGCAAGCACTGCAAGATGTTTGGACAGTCGCAGGAGAAATGTTTCAGATTGCACCCACAGTTGAGAACCAATAGTCAAAAGCAGGAACACACTATTAGTGCACCCCATGTGCCTGAACGCGCTCATAGCAAACCTGATGACAACCAACCTGATGAGGGAATCATCACAAGACAAGAGTCGGTGTCTTCCCCTGGGATCCCTTCTTCTGACCATACTACAACAGATAATGTTCGAACTGAAAATCAGGATAGTCCCGCAGCTCCTATTCAGGAAACATCAGGTGCAGAGGTA